GGGAAACTTTAAGTGAATTTTATGGGGATTTGTTCTCTTTTGGTTCACTTCACACATTCAGTAGTCTGAGCTTTGGTGTACAGAGCTGTGGATTTGCAATTCCAGCTTTTTTTTTTTTCTTAGTGAAGAAAGCATATTCTATGCTTTCTATGCTTTCTACACTATGGCCTCCAAAGTGTAAGTTGTGGGGTGCTGGCCACACAACTGTGATGCATGTGCCAGCTTCCCAGGCTGCCTCAGCAGCGTTTTCCTCGGCAGCCCTTAAATTCCACAGTAAATTGTTGCTTACATGGGAGCTCTGATTTGCATTTTAAATGAATGTCATCTAATTCCCCAAACCTGAATTAAACCAATTTTTTTTTCAGGTTACTGAGTGTTTAATTATTTACCCTTGACTGGTGTACCTTGGAAGTTAGGGAATATTAGGTGGCTGTCATGTGTGAACCAACTATAGACATGTTTATTATTTGAACATGCTCATTTGCCATTTAAAGTGTGTGTTTTAAAGTGTCACTCTGAATGGAAGTTTTAGCATCTCTTTGAAATACTTTGTTTAACCCATTGTTGTAAATCTTTTGATTAAAAACAAAGGTTCTTGTGCAGCACACTTCATTTCTTAAATGTTTTCTTAAAGCATTCCAACTGCACCCAGGAAGGCAAGTAAAAGAAGGAGCCCTGTAGTGCATTTGTACTTTTTGAATGGGCCAGTACTACTAGAGTTTGCTTTTGGGCATAGTTCTGGCTTTAAACTGCAATCTATAGGCATTTCTTTTATATAACTACATGCTTTCAAAGTATGTCTGAAAACAAATAGTGCTTTTAGAAAAGTCTTTTGGAGAAGGAAGGGGCACACAGGAAAGTATGTGCTGTGTAGCTGTGCTGGGTCACTGTCACTCACACCACTTCCTTGTACTCTCCAAAGTCCACTAAGGAAGCTGCTTTTCTGCTTTCAGAAGTTTAACAGAAGCATCTTTGCTGTCTAGAAGGGTCCTCTGCTTCTGCAGAGTCCTCTTGCTGTTTGAGACTTAGAAGGTTTTGCAAAGGGAAGAGTTCTGAAAGACTTGAATTTAGGAAGTCTTGACTTTGGAGGACTTGTGAGCCCTGTAGGAGCTGAGGCTTTGTGAGCACACAGCTGTTTTTACCACTCATGTTGGCCACCTCAGCTGACTTGGCTGCTGCTTCGCTGTGCGTTTAAGAAGCTTACGCGACCTGCTGTACCTTCTCATAGTGAAAATCTTTTGCTTTGAAGCAGGTATTGAAAAGTGCAAAGTGTAAAGTAAAAATGAAAGCCAAGAGCAGTGTGTCATTTGGGCAGATGCCAGTTGAGAGATGATAAGTGGATTCTGGCATAAACAAAAGTAAGTGCTGAGAGCACATACAACTCTGAAGTACACTGACCATACCCCTGAACTGCTACGCACAGGAACAGTGTGGAAGGGCATCATAAATATTAATGACCAGCCATCAAACCTACACAGCTCGAGATGTTTTTGAGAGAACATTTCTTCTCTGAGTAGGAAGGTATTTCACCAGGAACATAGCAAAACTTGTTCTCTGCAGAGCACTTCGTGTATCCCTTTGTGAATGAATAGAAGTTGCTCTGTTGAGGCAGATTGTGAATCCCAACCTAGTCTCCAGACATAACAGAATCACCACTCCTAGTTCTGTGCACAGAATATGAGGTGATTGCCGGAAATGTTGGAGAATTCACCACAGTTACCACATATACTGGGGAAATCAAGGTCCTCTCTTGGGTTCTTCGCTTTGTTAGTAAAAGAGTTTAAGAATAGACTCAAAAGGAAGCTCAAGGACAGCTTTTTTAGAGTTTAAAAGAAAAATGGAAGGGCAGCAAGTTGTGAGTCTCAGCAGCTGCCTGGAGGAGGAAGAGGTTGCAGAGAAAGAGGAAAGCCCTACCTTTTGAGTCAACTATGTGGAACATTGTAACATGACGGCCGGCTTGCTGGGGTTTCTGTCCTGCCCGGTACCCCACAGCCGACAAGCCCCAAAGAAAATCACAGAGTCTACATTAGGTTATAAACTGATTGGCCCATTAGCTCAGTCTTCTTATTAACTAATTCTTACATCTTACGGTAACCATAATTCCTGTCTGTGTTAGCCATGTGGCTCAGTACCTTTTCCAGCAGGCAGGTTACATCTTGCTTCTCTGTGGTCTGGGCAGGAGTGACAGAGGGAGCTTCCTGCTTCCCAGAATACTCCGTTCTCTTTGCTCCACCTCTAGTTCCTGTCTGGTTTCCCCGCCTATACTTCCTGCCTGGCCAATCAGCATTTATTTAAAATATGATTGACAGGAAACAGACAATTCTCCCACACCAGAACATCGTGCCTCGTTCTTTTGTCTGGCTTGATCTTGTGCAGCTCTTGGGTGGGCAACTGTGGCTGCTGTGAGTCCGTCAGCGCAATAGCCATTTTGTGTATAGAAGAGAGTACTACATAACACTTCATCTCATCCTCTGGCTCTCCATATTCTTTCTGTTCCCTCTACCGCAGTGTCCCCGAGCTGTGAGAGGGTGGTCGTCGTGGTGATTTATTAAGGATACAGTCCAGCTACTTTGTAGACTATTCCTTACTTGGTGTTCATCATAGGTTTCTCTGTAGTCAGTCAAGTTACATAGAATATTAGAATATTAGAAATGGTGAATTCATATCAGGAGACCTGTATTGTCACTCATTGACAGCTGGTGACCTGATAAAGTGGTGTGTGTCACACGCCTGACTACAGTCAGTGTTTTGTATATGTCAAGTGGTTGATAAATACCTTCAGCTTTCTCCACTAACACAGTTGAGGAGCTTTCGGCCAGGGAATGGCACCACTCACCTCAGTTAATAAGGTCAAGATACCCCCCCCCACAGGTATCCCACATGCCCTTCTGCCAGGGTGATCATTAACATGAATATCACATCCCATGTTGTACATTTGCTCAGCATTTAAGCTCTTGTATCAATTTATCTTCTGTGTATACACCTGTATCCTTTAAAAACTATAAAATACTTGTTTTTATTTTTATGTAATATTGCTGTAACAATTATAAAGATATGCAAATAAACTCTTGAATCATTTTTAGAAAAGCCTAGGGAAAAAAAAGAAAGCCAGGTTGTGGGGGCAGCATATCCCTTTGATCCCAACACTCAGGAAGCAGAGGCAAGTGGATCTCTGTGAGTTCGAGACCAGCCTGGTCTACAGAGAGACTATCAAGACAGCCAGGGCTACACAGAGAAACCCTGTCTCTAAAAACAAAACAAAAAAAGAAAAGAAAGGCTTAGAAAAGCCTTAAGTCTCTGAGAACAACAAATAACCCCCCCCCCCAGAAGTACAGCTGTGATCTCTCGCTTCTCTCGCTTTGAAAGCACCTGTTACACAGCTCAGCTCCTGTGAGGGAGCAGCTGTGGGGGTGAGCAAGCAGTCCCCCTGCAGAGTTTTCCTTGATTAAAATGTCGTGGAGCTGGCAGCACATTTGAGTCATTAGTGACCAAATGCTCATCCCCAAGAACTTGCAAGACTCCTTGTGTTTTTATTTTATGAAATTAAGCTGTGATACAGCTTTGGGAAAGAAGTAGAAGTTCTTGTATCTTAGTGAGCTGGCAGCTTTCCTTGGGTGCCATAGCAACCATCTTCACATCAAAATAGCTTGTTTCTGGGTCTCTTCACGGCCCATCAAGGAAAGGCCTTTGGGCCTGTTTAGCACTGTAGATTTGTGTGTGAGCATGGATGTCATGTTTGTATCTATAAGATGATTCTAAAGGGGTCTTGTAAGAATTTGAGCTACATTTTTCCTCCCTGCTAATTAAATCATAACTTCTAGTGTTTTAAGTATCTTACAGAATTTTGTTTATGTTTAAATTACTTTTAATCTTAACTGTGTGGGATGTACATGTCCCATCCTTGAGGATATGACTAGATGATCATAAGCCAGAGGCCATGCAGCCCAACAGACGGAACAAGTGCTCTACTCTAGGCCTACAGGCAGGCCTGGAGTCTGAGACTAGATGGGCTCCCTCTCTTTCACATGCATTTGGGCGTGCTGAAGTCTTGCTGTGTAGCCCAGACTGGCTTAGACCTCTCTACAGCCAGGGTGACCTTGAGCTTATGATCTTTCTGCCTCTAATTCCCAAGTGTACCACAGGCGTACCCCTCCACCCCAGCTCATCCCAGGTATTTTATCCCAGCATGATAGTTTATTCCATGAAGTCAGAGGCTGTCCACCTCGAATCTTGTCTTTTCACTAGACCAAAGGCATGCTCCTACCTTCTAGCTCCAAGGTAGAAGTTAGACTCTTGCCCTTATGTTTGTCCATGTACAGGCTATTGCCTGGAGAAAGGTAGAGATGAACTTGTCCTTTCTGAAAGGCTCTTGCAGTCCCATAAAGCTCTACTCATACTGACCAGAACTGAGTCTCAAGACCACACCCAGCTTCAGGGAAGGCAGGATCACAGGTGTTCTTCTAGGTGGCTGCATGTCTTGATATAAGCTGTGAGTTCTTGTATATGGGAACCAGGAAAGCCCAAAGGAAGCAACAGCACCCTGTGCCCTGTCTTCTACGGAAGCTGTGAGAATCTGCCCTCCATAAAGAACAGGAGTATGCAAGCCAGACCTCCTTATGCTGCTCTGTTGGCACTAAGTCTCCATGCAGAGCCAAAGCCTCAGGCAGCATGTTAGCTGGAGAGGCACTGAGATTTTAATACAGACTCTGGAAAGATTTGGAACATTAGAGATACCACTGTACCTCAGAAAATCAGAAGGGTACAGTATAGCCAGTGGTTTTCAGTTGAGTGTGATTCTTTGACTCTACTTTGTTTTGGCTAGCAAACTAGGGAATGCTTCTTGCCTTTCACTAAGGAACTTCCTGTGTATCCTTAGGAACATGCTCATGGAGATACTGCGCAGTGAGGACCTGCGAGGCCATCGTGTTTCAGATTATGTACTCTGGCCGTGCACATCTCTGATATGTGGCAGTCTTTGATCAGTATTTGTCTCTTTGCAGTGGATGAAGGCCGCAGTAAGGACCTTAACCGACTACGGGTACTTCACAGGCGATCCACCATGCCTTATGCTGTTTACAAGAACTACCAAGAAGACCCGAGTGAGGAGGAGGGTGTTCTGGAGTATGCCAACCTTGTGGGGCAGAAGTGCGCTGAGAGGATGCTGCTGTTCAGAAACTCACCACCTGCCCCATAGCCCAGCACCAGCCTGGGTACCTGGTCACCGTCCTGTGTATCTTGGCTTTTGTAGCCACTCACCAAGTACATTCTTAGAGCTTTTAAAAATTATTTTGTGGAATTGTATTTATGAGAATCTTGTGGTTAATATAAAGATTTTAAAATACACTATGATCCAGCCCTTAATTGGGATTTGTCCTTTTGGAGTTTGCTTCTGGAACAAGGTATGCTAAATGTCTCCAGTAAATATTCTGGGGAGGAAAGTGATGAAATGAATCTAAATAATTTCCTCACATTACTGTTTTTGTCCTGGAAAAATTCTAACAGAAAAGATGGTTCTCAACCTATGGGTTGCAACCCCTACAGGGGTTGTATATCAGATATTTACATTACGATTCATAACAGTAGTAAAATTCCAGTTATGAAGTAACAACGAAATAATTTTATGGTTGGGTCACCACAATATGAAAGGGCATATTAAAGGGCAGCAGAATTAGGAAGGTTGAGAACCATTGACTTAGACTCATACAAGATATTAGCTCATGCTAGGAAATTTGGGTGGGGTCAAAGGTGACAGACGCATTCCATCGCCAGGAAATATGTCTTCCCCACAAACCTAAGCTCTGTTACTCTGTTCAATATTAAATTCTGCCAGTGTTACAGTGTGTCATTAATAAACAACCTGAAAAGGCAATGTAAACACTGCAAAGATCAGGTGTTCACATTGGGTGTGTGTCCAGGGTGGTCCTGCTGTGTCTGTTGTCTTGGCATAATTATTTGCCTGGCAAATCTTGAGGACCTGAGTTCAGTTCTCTAGAACTCATGTAAAAATGCTGGATCTGGTAGTGAGTGTGCGCTTGAAATCCCAGCACTGGGGAGTCAGAGGAGCTTCCCTGGGGCACTGGCCAGCAGCCTAACCTACTGAGTAACTTCCAGCCACTGAGAGACCATGTCTGAAAGGAGGTGGACTGCAGTCCTGAGGATGACACCTAGCTCCAGGCCTCCATATATGAGTTTTATAAAGCTGGGTGCTTGTCTTTTGAGCTCTTGAGTGTACACCGCAGCTAGTGTAGGGCAGCCAACGCAAGTATCCCAACTTTCATTTTGCAAAGTCTATCTGAGATACCTGATTTCTTGTCAGTGGCTTTCATCTAAATAAAGACACATGGAACTTTCCAGAGACTGTTTTTCTTTTCTCCAGGCAGGAGCTATGCATGTTCCAGCTCCTTGCTTTAGTCCCTTCTGAGTTCAGGTAGATTCACACCTCCCTCTGTGACGGCACAGATGTCATTTTGGTTCTCAGTGTATTATCTTTATCTAAATTATTTTCAGTTCTTAGAATTTTGTTATTTTTATTATAAATAATTTGAGCACTTTTTATATTCTAAGATAGAGGCTATATTATCAGATAAATATATTCACTCAATTGAAATTATTTAGATAAGAGAAATTATTGTTTATGTTTTCTTTCAAGGAGTCTATCCTATTTTTATCCATTTGCAAATGCCGGTTTTGTGTGATGGTTTTAGCACATCAAAATTATTATGTAAAAGAACCTTTCCAGCTTTCTGAACAGCAAATAGTTTGGTTTATAAATATTGTATTATTTCAGTATGAATAAAGGTGAGAGAATATGAACACTTACCCAGAATGATTCTACTGTGGCTGACTTAAAAGAAGGAAATGAAGTGGGAACTTGATATGTTTGAATTACAAGTTATTCAAATGTCTATTCCTTTCCTAGGGAAACCAGTGACTATAAGACAAAGTAACTTTGATTGCGTTTGATAGTTTTGCTCTTCTAAAAAAGGCCAAAATGAACAAAATAAAGCTGTTTTTATCTGCATTGGTTCTTGACATTCATTTCTTAAAACTATATAGGCCCAGCACCATCTATCCCTGTAATCCCAGCACTCAGTGGGGGCAAGAAGTCTAGTCAAGGTCACCTACAACTATATAGCAAGTTTGAGGCCATCCTGGGATAATGAGACCTTGTCTCATAACGCATAACCACACACACACACACACACACACACATTCTCGAATACTTTACACCTGTAGAAATTTGTAGAAAATGTTGACTATGTTAATTATAAGATTTAATTGTCAATAACCAACTGTAGACCGTTTGACTATGTCAATCAAAGTATGGGATGACTTCTCTGGAGAATAAAATAAATCTCTAAGCAAAATGTATAGATTTTCACATAGTAAAATAAGATAGGATGAACTTTTGGTTTTTCGAGACAGGGTTTCTCTGTGTAGCTCTGACTGTCCTGAAACTCTTTAGACCAGTCTGACCTCAAACTCAGATCCTCCTGCCTTTGTTTTCCAAGTGCTGGGATTAAAGGCGTGCGCCACTACTGCCCACTGCCCAGCTACTGTGAATATCTTAAAAGAGAATGGTCTTAATGCTTGCATAGTATCCCAGTGTGTACTTATGTTTGCACAAGAAGACTTTTGGCCCTGAGCCCTCTTTATGCATAATGGGTATTACAGCATTGCCAGGTTTTTTGATATTATTTTGTTTCCTTTTTAAGAAAAATCAAGTTTTGATTTTAAAATGTAAAATATCCAGCATTCCATAAACATTCAAACAAGATAAATGATTACAAAAGGAACATTCTTTGTCTTTGTAGTCCTGTGGATCAAACCTTATGGAGCAGGCAAGCATTGTACTGAGCTTCTACAAAGGGGAAGGCCACCTCTAGCCCTGTTAGGCGGGTATCAACACGGATTTAGTGTCAGCATCACAGTTCCTTCTCACTGCACCAAATGGCCTAAGTGAAATAAAGATGTCCTACTTAGGGGTTCTTGTGGCTGCCACGAAACACCACGGCCACAAAGCAAGCTGAGAAAAGGGTTTATGTGGCTTACACTTCAGAACTGCTGTTTACCGCTGAAGGAAGTCAGGACAGGAACTCAGACAAGGCAGGATCCTGGAGGCAGGAGCTGACGCAGAGGCTATTTAGGGGAGCTGCTTGCTGGCTTGCCTCACATGGCTTGCTCAGTCCACCTTATGGAAGCCAGGACCAGCAGCCCAGGAATGGTATCACTCACCATGGGCTGGGCCCTCCCCCACTGATCACTAAATGAGAAAATGCCTTACAGCTGGCTCTCCTGAAGACATTTCCTCAACTGAAGCTCCTTCCTCTGATGTCTCTAGCTTGTGTCAAGTTGACACACAAAACCAGCCAGTACAAAAGGCTTTAATATATTTATCCATCGATGATTGCTTATGCGTCGTAATGTACTGTAGGTATCTTTGCCTCATTACCTTCTCTTAGCCACCCTTCATGGTATTTGGGTTTTAGACTGTTCATATCCCTCTGGGAATTCTAGACAGTATTGGAATCCATAGCTTCACTGTGCTGACTCAGAAGGTGAGGTCCATGGCAGGTCATCAGATCTCAAAGGCTGAACTCTTGTAAGTTTGTCTAGTCCCCTTGTAAAGCCATATCCCTCCCATCGCGGAAACATACAGCAGGTTGGAGTCTGTGATTAGATAATGTGTCCACATCAGACATCAAGTCTCCTAGTACCTTGATCTTCTTGAACTTGGCAAGAAGTTCCTCCAGAGCTCAGGACTGGATTCCTGTTGTCTTAAGCCACCACTCTGTGTATTGTTAGAGTAGCCTCAACAGACTCCTGTCTGCATTGTTTTCATCCTTGGTTCCCCACCTCTCTCTCATAGTTCTTTCTGCTAGCTCTTTATATTGCTGCCTTTAAGTTTGTCCATCTCTAAAATTCCAACAAAATGCCTTAACTTAGAGGCTTAGGTTTATTTAAAATGTTAAACTTCTGAATTACTGATTCCTTCAGAATCAAAGGTCTTTAAATGGTGTTGACAGAAATGAGTGAGTAACCATGCCACTATTGTTGAGCTGAACTTCGTGCTTAGTTTATTGGCTGTGTTGAGGGCTTTTTGTAGTTTTGATTTTTTACGAGACAGTTTTTCTGTGTAACCTTGGCTGCCCTGGAACTCACTCCATAGACCAGGCTTGGCCTCAGACTCACAGAGATCCACCTGCCTCTGCCTCACTAGTGCTGGGATTAAAGGTGTGTGCCACCACACCCGGCTTGACTGTGTTAAAATTTAACCTGAGTGAATTTGTACTTTTCTATCCAGTCAGTTACTAGAATGTCTTCTCTCTTGTTCAGAAACTATTGTCTGTTAACTATCTCAACCAAGAGCTAATTCCTGGTTTGAAAAAAGCATTTATTATTCAGAGGCGGCGTGTGAGAGGAAGCATGCAAGAGAGAGTTGCACACGCTTCATCAATTTGGACGCACGCGCCATGGCGTGGCGGTCAGAAGACAACTTTCAGCAGGCTAGTTCATCTTTCCACCTTGTTTGTTTCTGCCCCGTTGAGTAACTGAGAAAAGCTAGCACTCAAGCTTTTTGAGCGAGCCCGCTATCTCTGCCTTCCATCTCTCCGTAGGAGTGCTGGAATTCCAGATGCGCACCTTCACATCTGCCTCTTTTTCATCGGTGCTGGGGTTGAACTCAGCACATCTCGCTGCCCCAAGACTTAGTTTTTTTTCACGCTTCCAAACAGCTTGGTTTTTGCGACACATCTCTCCAGTTGCAATATGAAGAATGAATGCCAAATCAAGGTTTCTGGCATGGTCTAGCTAAGCCTACCGTGACAAGGCATCTGGGGGGACACTCGGGAGGGAGTGTAGATCCTCTGCAGAGACAGGCATCCTTCACTCCTCTGGCATGCATAAAGCAGAGTCTTGGGGACTAGCACGAATGTTTTCTTATTTAAGGATCAAAGGGCTATTAAAGTTTGATTAAATGCAGTATGAGAAAAATAGCTTTAAATTTTTATTTGAATGTCGCAGGCTTGAGGCATTCACTGCAAGGGAAGGAATAAATGTACTCTTGTATAATTTGACTGTGCGGTTTGGGATTGAATTTTCTCTGAACTTTAATCATTTTGCTTGCCAGTCTGAGCCAGGGTCTTAAAATCATTTAATGTAGGCCCTTTAAAAAAATTAGCATTAAATGAGAACTCATGAATTCTTCATGAGGTTCAATTCATCACACTTTGTGAATTCACTACTCAATGAGCCTCAACAGCACCTCTTGAGTAAGGAGCTTTTTGACCATGAAACAAGAAAAACATTTCAAGTCTGTGGATTCAGAGCCGAAGCTCTTAGTTCAGCTGTGTATCCACGATTCCACGTGCCTGTCCACCACCTCTTCAGATACGGAGAGACGGCCAGACCGAAGCGTTATTTTACTAACTTCTGTGTATGCGTGCGTGTGTGCACGCACGTGTGTGTGCATTGGCGGAGGGAGCATATTCAGAGGCCAGAAGTGGATATGGGATGTCCTGCTTCATTGTCTTTCTCTTTGCTCCTTGTGAGTCAGGGTCTCTTGCTGAACCAGGAG